GCAAACGAGAGAGGAGAGAACGAGTGCTTATTATAATCTAAAATGTGAATCTAATTGAATCACCTTTTATTTTTTATTAAACATTTTTCTTCCGCGTTTCAATTAATTGTTTACGAAGATTGTGATATATGATATTATAATAAAACTATTTTCTCATAAGATAAGTGTGAATTACATTCATTAGAATAAGATGTTACAAATTATTATAATTTCTTATTTGCTCTATCAATTTTTATTATAATGTTTAGAATTGATCAAATTTAAATAAAAAGTTATGAAAATCTAAGTTCTTTTGTTACTTAGACAGTATCGATAATATCATTCTGAATAAAATTAATATTGCATAAGAAAAATACGTCACGCATGTTGATATAACGCAGTTTTCTATTTTAATTAATTTTGTAATCAATGTAAAATAGTATAGTAACAACTCTTAATATGCATTATTTCACAATCAACTTGGTGCAAGTTATTTTCTCAAACAAAGAAAATAAGCTACAGAATTTTTCAAGTTAGTCTGATACATTTTCTTCACGCAAAATTGTCAATTTTCTAAATTTCTACAATTTAAATTTTCGTCCTTTAAAGTTTTAAGGTTCTACTATATCATTCGAATACATATTTTATTTCAAATGTGCGCGAAGCATTTTGTACAGTCAGATATGCAGCAACCGTGACGAGCTTCGTGACTTTGCATGGAAAAGGGATCAACGACGTTCGTGTCGAGTGTGTGCGAGTCGATGGAATACGTCCGCCTCGAAAAGCAAACGAAACGATTTCCACGAAGGTATAAAAAGAAAAACGCAGGAACAAGCCGCTCGGAAATAGCCGCGGTTAATTTTGCGTCTGCTCCGTGCTATAAGTGTACATCATAGAGAGTTCGCGTCTGTTCATCGTCTGTTCTCCTTCTCACTCTTCGTTTGAGTCCCTTTATTTCTTCCCATTTTTTTCTGTCTTTTTCGTTTTTTTTAGCTCACTATCTCTTTAAAAATACATTGCTGTGTTTCCGGTGAACTGTGGCGGAAATTGCAAGTGTTATAATATTGATAGATTCAATGAGTGTGTTGATGATAGGTGCTCGTGATACTCTCGAATTATAACTATCTATATAATTTTGCATATATATCACTGCGTGATATTTCTATATTTGCATTTTAATAGTTTTTAAATTTGCAAATTAGCGTTATCTGTAATAGATTTACTGTGTAATAATCACCGTTTACTTATAATTACGCCAGATATTTTAATAGGTATTAATAAATAACATAAATTAACATGTTGAAACTCGAAATGGTACTAAAAATGTTTTAACGAAGTAGCAACAATTAAAATAGACAATACTACTACAGTAAATTAAATTATTTGAAGCCTCGTGTAACAGTGATCTTTATTGATAAAATCTGTTGTCAAAGTTAATAGTTTTAAAAATGTGAACTTGTTATAAATAAACCTTGATTACTTTCCAGTAATATAGTTTTTATTAAATTTTATGTGTAAATGAAACATGACTACACATTCGATATCAAACAGTTATTATCCGTAAAAATTGAATAGAGATAAGAGAGAATTTTTCATTGGTGAAATACAAGTGAGTTTTTTATACGGTTAAAGGTAATTAAAAACGTAAATGTGTAAATTCTTTTGAGTGTCTGAAAGATCAATAATTTGTACACACGAACGAAAATTGCGGTGCGCGCTTGCGCTAACGAATGCGTTTCACCAATTTCTGCGATATTTATTCATATTTCAGTGATTTTGCAAGCTCAAAATGTCAGTTCTCTCTTGCATTCATGATATTCCCGTCACGGCTATCAATCGAACTTGTTCCTGTCCGACAATCACGTATGCGCGATTTTATTGAGATAATTATCTCGTGAAAAATATGTCTTTATCCGAAAGCGATACAGCGTTTAGGTCATGACTATTGTGTATCCCGAAAAAATATTATTCATTAAAATATGTATAACTACTACGTTTTACGTCAAATATTCCGTAGAAGTCGTCGCAATCTGTTAATATTTGCCTCACAATTTTATAATCCTTTTTGCAATGTGACGTTGAATTTACATATTTGCAAGCGTCAGTTTGCTTTCGTAGTTCCGTAATGTTGCAACTTTTTAACTTTATAACAATGTTTGCTTTTTTCCGGACTTTCTATGATCGAATAAGATAAAAGACACAACTAGTGTGTTGCGGATAGCGTCTTTCACTGACTTACCCCATACTTCATCGTCTTTAAACGGTTGAGAGATGGATTATCTATCTTTTCTTTTTTTTCTTTTCTCATGTTTTTTCACGAAACTGGGTACATATCCCTTAATTCTACCGTGCCTGACAGTTAACCTTCATTTTCTGGCAACAGCTGAATATGTGAAATGCAACGTTGCTAATTTACGGTTACATTTTAAAGAACATCTTACGACTTTTAAAATTTATTATGGAATGCTGGGAAAACAACTGTTGAAGACCAAAGTTGCAATAGCGTTGGAAGCATATAAAAATTTCAGTCACTTGTCCCTGACAGTAGTAGATGAGAGATTGTTAAAAAAAACTAATTAAAACATCATTTAATTATTAAAACCGTTTTCCTTTATCATGTGTTTTCTTCTGTCACCTTTCTCTCCGTATTTTCTTCTACTTTTTATTTAAAAAATCGACATTTATTAATTATGAATAGAATATGTTCTTTTCATCTATGCATTGACTTCCAAAAAAAGTAAGTTTAAAAGTTGCTAATTTATTAACTATTATTGAATTATTTCTGTTTTATTTACAAAATAATAACATATTGTTTCGAATGTATGTAAACATATACAACGTGTCGGCAATAAAGAAGAAAAAAGAGAATAGAATTCGCTGGAAATGGCGAAATGCATATTTCATATGCAAACTGACGCGAATTAGAGATATTTCATATTCGTCGGAGTATAATTAAAGTTGTCTGTTTTTGTTTTAAATACAATCTTTATCATATCAAACACGGTGCAATGCTGTAATAACATATCTCAATTTATCTGATGAAAATGAATTATTTAAAATTCTTTTAACTCCGAACAAACAAAATATACGTATTTTTTACATTTTAATATGTCACGTATATACGTATATACTGTTCGTATATACGGTGAAAGCAAAGAGTTTTGTACAAGGAAATTTGTTAGAAAAAAAGTCTTATTTGTAGAAAATAAACATTAATTAGCAATTTTATACAATGAATACATTCTGTTTTAACATAAACAAATAAGCTTCGCATGTATTCTTGATTTTAGGAGCTAAATTTCTCGTCTATACGAATACTTTTTGAGCATTCAAACAATATAGTTTTTAATTTTATTTTACTTATTTTTCAGATGATATATTTTGTAATTTTAATTAATACACATTTTTTTGGTATATAATTTTAAGAAACATACAGTTTATTTTATTTTTTATGAATAAATTGTTAATTATCCGACAAGAGATCATTAATTAAACAAATTGACATCAAATTGATGTTGAAATCATTGTATTTATATTGATTCGACATCAATGACTCATTTCTTGCTGAATAATACTTACTTTTTAAAAATAAAATTTTGTCAAAAAATATTTTCTCTACGAATACTTTTTGCACTCACTGTATGTATATTACACAGTTAGTGTTTAAAATAGAAAGGAAAATGAATCAGAATTATTGAGTGTAGAAAAGAAACAATAGCTGAGATATTATATTTTATATGTAAAATGTGTATGAGAATAATTGTAAAATAGCACAAAATATTTGATTATATAAAAACGTGTTCAACATAATTAAATTATTAACTTATTTATTTGATTATGAAGTATTTTACAACTTGAATCGCATTTTCGTATTATATGTATATAGAATATAAAAAAAGAGGATATCTTTACTTATAATAATATATCAAACTTTTTCTTTTTGCTGTTATGTACAATATATTTTTTTTACACAAATGAAAGAAGATCTACTTCTACTAATTTTTATTATTTAATTTCATAGATAGTTTTATTTTAATTGCAATTTAACTTTTCTAATTTTCAAATAAGAAGATGAATGAATATAAGTTTGCATATAGATTTGTACAATTAGATTTATTTGTAGTATTTACTGTTCCTTACTCTTCCTATTCTTCTTCCGCTGGCAGAAACGTTCGTTATTTATGACTTCCGTCGGCATTTATAGAATTGCATCTCTAGAGAAGCGAGAATCGTTCAGCCGAAAAAAATTGGTTAGGACACTCGAACGATTCTCTGACGTCACGGATGATATTTCGTTAGCAAGCTAAAATCAATCGGTATTGCTCTTGACAGGTGGCCTGTAGACGCATTTAGAGCCATAAGATTATGTCGGTTCTCTCTCGCATCAATTATGAGAACGTTTCCTTGCTCTAGTAGTTTCTCGCACGCAGGCGAAACAGATTTATTTACAGATTGTTTTTTCATTATATTTATAAACTAGAAGAAAAAATGAATTGGCGAATTGTAACAATATTCTATCTCTTTTTTATTGTTTTTCTTGATGATTGGAAAGAATATGAAGCGTTTCAGGATATAAAGTATTTAGTAGCGTACAATAATGTTGTAATATTATTACATTATTAATATTATTACTATATTAATAGATATTATTACATTATAACTATAATATTATTACATTATTACTACATTAATAACATAGTAAAGCCATAAATAAAATCAAAATTAATTTAATTATTTATTTAAAGATTTAATAGGAATTAAGGGAGAGAATTTCTATTATTTATTAAAAAAGGATATAACGATTCATTTAATATAACATTTTCCTCAAAAATATACTATAATTATAGTTTGTCTGCGATTTTAAAGGAACATTTTTTTATAACAATATTATATCTATTATATCTCTCTGTATGATATGTATTTATCGTTTTATTTTCGAACACGTTTTAAAATGTTGAATTTAAAAATTCTTTGTAAAAGCTTCGAGAATCTTTATCTTTTACTTTTTATTCTCGTTGCAGATGTGCCAAGTGAGCAATCCGTTTTCGTGATGCTGAATGGTGAAGAAAGCGAGCTTAAATTCTTAAACATCATTAATCTTAAAGTAAGAAGAGAGAATAGTCGTTTTACTTTTTATATAAAGCTATAAAGCGTGATATTAAATAAATCTTTATTTATTTATCTATTTTTTTCAAAATATATAAGTAAATAAAATTTTTATTTTATTAAATAAATTTGATTTGTGTAGATCGAATTGGAAAAAATGCCATTGCCAGACGCCTTTGTCGTAATGTATTCAGTAATCGACAAGGCATCCTTTCAAAGGGCTGAAGAATATCTCGCTCGACTTCATGATCAAGATCTTCTTCGTGGTAAACCGGCTATTCTGGTCGGGAACAAGGTCGATTTGGTTCGTTCCAGAGTGGTTTCGCCCCAGGGTAAGAGGCGGAACATCTTTCTTTTTTGCACATATATTTTTTTCATGGATAGACGGTTTTGTGACACTTTATAAAATTAAACGTTCAGTTAACATGATATTGTATATCAGGCAAATTCTAAAATAAAAATAGGATCATCGAATCTGTGTATACGTACACGTGCACTGAAAAAAATTCACGAGATTTGAATAAATATTTGTTTAAATAGTACCAATGGAACTATTACATTTACGATAAATAAATATTTGTTCAATTAAAAAAAATACACTTAATTTAAGTATCATTATTTTAAATCGAATAAATATTTATTTTTCTGTAAGCAAATGGTCCTATTGCTTATATACTATTTAAACATTTATTTAAATTTCGTAATTTTTTTTTCAGTGTGTATGTATCGCGTATGATGTCTATTTCAGATAATTAATCTTTTTATGGTTGTAAAATTTACATGAAAGTATTATTATAAAATGTTTTATATTATTATTATATATTATTATATATTTATATTATTATTATTAAAAAGTGACAAATTCTAGACTGAAGGAACATGTTTATACTTAATAAAATTTTATTTTTTGACTCTTCTATTTAAAAAAAGAGCAAAAATTTTTTTAAGTTCTTTATTATTATACTTCTATTAAAGATATAGCAATAGAGAAGTTAAACAATAATAATTTAAAAACTCCTCTATTTTAATTGTAACCCTTTATTTCGAATTTTCGGACTATACATTGTAGATGGGAAATGCTTGGCATGTACCTACCGTGCGAAGTTCATCGAAGTATCAGTGGGCATCAATCACAACGTCGACGAGCTCCTTGTTGGAATACTCAACCAGATCCGTTTAAAGGTGATCCAGAGTAACCAAGAGAATCGAAACAGCGGTGGCAGTGAGGGTAGTGCTCATTGGTACAAATCTAGAGGCGTCGTGCGCGCTAGTATGAAAGCCAGACAGATGCTAACTTGGCTTTTCGGCAAAGAAGATAGCAAATTTAAGAATTGCGAGAACCTCCACGTACTTTAAAGTCACTGCAAAAAAGATCGCAATCAAGCTACTCGACTACTGTTTTATTAGTCACGTAAGTATGGCATGATTTGAGAAACTTCTTTCTCGACAGGAACTTTATTAGAATTCCAGAATTGAAGGAATTTCCGTCGGGAAAGGATCGTGAGAATGTGAGAATGTGCTGAATGGATGCATCTTCGAGTCAACAATATGTATGTACCTTAATGTTTAGAATTGAACGTCAAGTCTTCGCTACTGATAATGTTTGTGAGAGTATTTTGTAATCCTAGAACGGGCGAGTTGGTCCGTGGACCAATGGATACTATTAGCATCGGGTTAACAAAGTGCCAATTAGTGAAAATTGACGCGCACTGAGTTTGGGGAGAAAATCCTTCGATTCCATACTCGTTTAACTAGAATTACCTTCTGAGAAATGTGAGTAATTAATCCTTTCAGTCCCAGATGTGACTGAGCGTTACTTCTCAGTAATTTTCACGACACAAACTTCGTCCTCCTTGTTCTTTGAAAGATTAAGTATTATCTATTAAATTACATTCAAGTCTTTATTCAAGCATTGCTGGATATTTAGACTATTTCGTGTCAATTTATATGCAGTCTTATTTTGACAATAATTTGAGATTAATGAAATTAATATTCTGACAAATTTTGTTACATTTATCGTTGCTTATTTTGTACTGATCGAACATTTTTCATTAATATTCTACTTGTTAAAGAAAAATAAAATGGGCATTTACATATATATCGCGCATTTCAGCTTTATGTAATTACAAATGATGTTGAATCTAATGGCCCATAATAGCGCAATCAAAAGTTCAAATCAATTCGTGTGACGATAAGAAAAGAATTTAAACCGGACCATGGTGCGAATTAGTCGCCTTAAATTTACGACTTTACTGTATGATAAGACCAATTATTAATCTTTTTATTTAGTACATGTATATACAAAACTTACATACATGATATAAGCGTATATTTGCGTAATGTTCTATACAAATATACCCAACGTGTATGTACAACATCCCTTAATCCCTCCGTTGACGGATGTCGATTTTACCATACATAACAGCGTTACATCGTTGTGTAAACAGAATATACCGCCACTATTCTCGCGTCGCTAAATTCGCTTGTGCCATTAATTTCTCGCGTTCCAATGGGCTTTCGCAGTCCGGTATTGTATATATAAAGCCAACTTGGTGCAATACGCTAATGTTACTTGACATTAAATTGTATATAAAAGTCATGAGGTTACTTTAATACCTAACAGGTGTTTATTATAATTAGAAAAAATATAGTGTAAAGCTGCCTATATATGTTGCTAAAATGTTTCCTACGCTTATATTGAGCGAATCTATATATATCGCGCCCATGCGTGCATAATTTTTATCATCTAAATTTCAAAGTAGATAATTAATCGATGCGTATTTTAATTCCAGATACCTATGTTAAAAGTTATTATACGATCGCGCATCAAGTAACTTTTAATTAGCACTTTGAGGTCTGACTCCGTCATTTTATTAATTGGATATTCTATTAATTATTTTGCAATCTGTTTTATACGATTTTATGTGTGATACCGATATTGATATAGTACATAGTTCATGCGGCATTTTGTGTGCAGTATTCTGCCCCAATGGAAATGAAATCTATCCTATTGCGTGTTTTCTTCGTGAGCGTCGCGAGAGAATGGGTATAGCGGTGATGTATACCCGAAACTATAGTCTTCTGAAGAGAGATATTCTTTTCGAATCTTTAAGAAGAGTGTCTATAAAAAGCTGTCTATTTTCTGCGATCTCTATGCCTGTGTATCCGAATTATACGAATGTTGCGTAAAATCTGAGTGCGTAATACTGTACATCTACATGACGGGAACAATGCGCGAATGACGTGCAACTTTGCCCTTCTCGTGTGAATATTTCATTGTCTCTAAACTATGTATACGAGAAATTAACGTTTCGGATTACAGTAGTAAATTACGGACTTCCTTTCTCTCGTTGCATGAACATTTTGAAAAGTATTTATAATTTTTGATGATCCAAATAAAACTAAAGAAGTTTCTTTCGGCATTCTTCGTTATCGTTGTTACCATCGTCGTGCAATTAATTCGATCGTAGCATCAAATGAGAGTTGTGACGATATGTAAACTTTGAGTTTAAGGATTTATCCCAAAATGTTTCTCAGCCGAGGAACTGAAGATTTTTACCAAGTGCCTTTGCGTATTTTTGTAATTTAAGCTAACTCAGTGTAAGCCCCATGAGTATCACACTGTATAATCTATTATTATACATATATTACTGATATATTTATTTGTTATTAATTCATCATGTTTCCTGTGAGATCGCTGCGTTGTGTAATCTCGATGGCGTAACTTTCTTTCCTAAAAATATATGTGATTTAATTAAATATAAATATCAAGTATCTGAAAACTAATCAAAATGCCAAAGTAATGAGATACTTCCATCTAAAGACATATTTAAAGTTACGTCACCGATGAATCTCCTTGTTCATTTGTGCCATTAGCATTTCCCTAAAACTATGAATGTAACTTAGTTATTAAAGTGTCATTGTGTCTGCTCGTTGTAATATGTGACGTGACAATACTGCCAGTCCTTGGTTAATAAAATGCTGAGAAAAACTTCTGCTTTAATCCTACATTATCATATAAGCAGTTTTTTGTTTGTTTGATATATATGTATAAATTTTTACATGATGCATGAACATATCATATCCTTTACAAATTCAATAATACATGCGTTTGTCCTACAAATTAATTTAAATTTATGTGTATATAATATAAAATTTAAAGTTTAGACACTCTAGTACATAAAATATTAAATATTACTACTTAATATTGTTTATTGTTACATAATAGAAATTTCTAAATTTTGTTCAAAATATATAACAAGAAATTTCTCAAAAAATTAATTAAGTAAATTGATTAAATTATTCGTAAATGTGTATTTTAAGCAGTAGTTTTTGGAATATGAGACCGATTTTAAATATGCGATTAAATATACATTATAGCCATCTGTCCATGAGTTATATGTGCAATAATATTATATTAGTAAACGTGTACTTTAGCTCACAGGCGAAGTGCCATTTAAAAAGTCTGTAGTTGACATATTCATATCTTCAATTATCTCAAAAATTACTGCTTGAGATAACAATTTTCAAATAATTCTTTTACTTATTTTTTTCGAGAACTTTCCCCCTCTTGCTATAATATTATATCTTGTATAAATTTATTTATTATGTGTACATATAAGTTTATCAATGTAAACTTTAAATTAAATTATTAAGTTATTTAATATTAATTTTAAAAAAATTAAAACAAATAATAGCTTTTTGTCTATTTTGAAAAAAAAACAAAAATACATTTATTTATGTGAATCTGTAATATAATCCATTTTTCCAATGTTAAATTTTGTTATAAATGATAAAAAAACCAATCTGTAGATCCAATAATATGCTGCAGTTGCTTTTATTGGTCCAATAATTATTATTAATACTGCTTCCTTAACACGTGTAGGAATTACCGCGCATCATCGCTTATCGATCGCATGCCTGGCATGTTTTTTTTTTTCGGATTGTATTTGCTTCTTTTCCAAGCCAATATCTATCGTAAATCATTAGTATGTAGACACTTGGTTAACAAATATTCGTTCCAGACGCATGCGCTTTGTGCATCGATTATTTTGCTTGGTGCCAGATATTGCAAACCTCTGGCCATGGCAGATTGCCACGCAACCAAGGAAAACAAGTACTCGGTTCTTGTAACCTCGGTTGCACGTGTACTTGACAGTATCGGTACACAGAATGTTACCTGAACCTCTTGGGCTTTAAAGAACCAGCGATGAAGAATGTGAAGTATATCGGATCAACTGTTGATTTTTGCACATATACTCCAATTTTATATACATATTAATGCAAATAAAAAATGTGAAATTGAACATTCTTATTGTCATTGTTGATAGCTTACACCAGGTAGTTATGTACATTTATATACAAGATAAAATAATATGCACATAATACAGAATAGTTGCACGTGCCTACGAGCTCTCTTTATGATCGTCAAATGCAAATTTTTCATTCGTTTATAATATGCTAATGCATAAAAACACATTGTCTATAATTGCGATATATTTAATTTTGCTAATTGATGTAATGAATAGTTGACAATTGGATTCTGAAGAAATTAAGCTCGGATATTGAAATTGTTTAGCGTTAATTAGTGCAATTATTAATTGTTACACTTCTTTAATTAATGGTGTAATTAAGTAATAAAATATTTTACCATGTTATCAATTATGTTTCTGCATTTATACATTAAGCATATCATACTTTCTGTGCTGTTATTTGTATTAAAATTGAAATATTGACACAATGAGACGTATATGTTTCTTTTGACAGATATTTTATAATATTTAAATTGAGTGTAACAAATAAAAAAAAAATTAGATTTTTTGGAAGTCTTTACCAATGTTGAGAAAACGTATTATTGTGATACAACCATGGCATCTGGTAAATCAACCATGGCATCGGCAAAACCAACTACATGCAAAGAAGCTATACGGCGATGGGAGGAAGAGAATCAACAAAATGCAGCTGCGGCGACAGAAGTAATCTTGAGCTTTCAATGGCCGCCAATAGAAAAGATGGACAACGCGCTGGCAACTTTGGTAAATTGTGAAAAACTCTCCCTATCGACAAATATGATTGAAAAGATTGCAGGTAAAGTAAAATTTAATGTATTACGAAATTGTGAAAAAATTCTAAGTTGCGTAAAAATTCTGTATGATGACTTATGGAATGTTACACGAAATTACACGACACGACGCGACGATTTCCTTATTAAAATAATTATTCTCTTTGCTTCTAATAAGTAGTTATATAATATTAATTAATTCTAAAAAGTAATTTCGTCTTACAAATTTTGAAAGCATAAGCATACATATTTTTGCAAAGATAAAGAATTTTTGAAACTATTTTTCCTTGCGAGTGTGATAAAATTAAAAATTAAAATATAAGTCGAATGTAAAGAAAGAAATAACTGAAGCTTCTAGTAAACGAAATTGAGACAGCGAAATGTAAAAGAGACGTTTACGTTTAGAATATTAATATTTATATTCGACTTACGTCCCGATTTTTATTTTTGCTAAGGGTTTTTTTTTATCTTGAATAGATTAATCAGCGATTTTTATCTTGAATAGATTAATCAGCGGTTATTCACGATTTGATCGATTTATGCAAATCACGATACATTTTAGATGTTGCATCAGAATGATGCGTATTCGGACTCGTGACACCATCGGCGATGCATAATGTATGCATATTCAAGCGTGTGACCGCTTAGTAACGCGACACATCACGATGTAAATATGATTACGATTAATGAATTTCATGTCATTACGAAATGGAATGTGCAAGAACACACATTAATGTTTTCAATTGTAGTTATCACTTTATTCGTGATAAGAATCAGTATTATTCATTATATGTTGTGTAATTTCGTAATTTCGTAATTTCGAGACAATTATTCGATTCGTATAAACTTCAAATATTTTGTCGTAGCATATTAAATTTACTTAACGTTTTTTATTACATGATAAGTTTTTATTATAGAATTTTTATTGATAATTATTACGATACAACACGCATGATTTTAATGTTGATAATAAATTGTAGTAATTTTAGCAGTAGCAAAATTATGTGATAGGAAAATATTGTATAGCATGCAAAAAATTAATTTTTAAAAATTGTTTTTTGTAGGCGTTGGAACTCTGAAAAATTTGAAGATCTTATCATTAGGTCGTAATTTAATCAAAGGATTTGCTGGTCTTGAACCTTTAGGCGACACTCTCGAAGAACTATGGATTTCCTATAATTGCATTGAGAAGATGAAGGGCATTCAGGCAATGAGAAATCTTCATGTACTTTACATATCTAATAATTTGGTGCGAGAATGGAACGAATTTGCAAGGCTACAAGAACTTGTAAATCTTCGAGATCTAGTTTTTGTCGGTAATCCGTTGTATGAAAGTCTCGAGGTATCTATCACATCAATGTATTTGTTAATAATTATTATAAGACATAATATTTTTATAATTTTTTTGTTATATAAAAATCTTCTTTATATAAAAAAGAAGATCTAAAATATTAGATAATATTATATAATAACATTACAATATTTTAAATATTATGCACTCAAAAAGAGGGTATTTACAAATAACAAAATAATAAAATAAATGATACAATTAGACGTATTTTATGTTATAATAAATATAAATAATTGAAATATTATTAAAGATATTATTATAGATTTTCTATAAATGTGTCAAATTTGTATTGATGTATTTTATCATTTCCATATATATAATCATATTTTGCAGGTAGAGCAATGGAGACTTGAAGTTGCACGACGTTTGTCAAGTTTGGAGAAACTCGATGGTGAACCTATAATACGTACAGAAGAAAATCCAATTCAGCTAGTCAAAACTGACAGTCCGTCGCACGATTTACTTGATCAAGAACCTGTCTAATATTTGAAATAGTTTATTTTCTTACATATTCAGTTTGATATATATTTTTATAATAAAATTTATAAAATTTAATTGTTTAGTAAATCTAACTTATTTTTGGGAAATAAAGATAAAATCTCTTTAATCAAACAGATATTTTCAAATTAGATTAATACTAATAATTCGAATTTTTTAAGAGACTCAGTAATTTTGAATTATAAGGGATACAAATGTTCTTGAATGTTTAGTTTATTAAATTTGTAAATAAAATGAATACTATTATATTATCTGTATATTAAAACAAAGAAGCAATGTAATCTTTCCGTATGAATTTATATGAAATTTAGCTATACGAATAAGTACAGACAATATGAATGATATTAACTGTAGGATAAGATATTTTTAATAAAGCAATAAACATTTTTTGACTGTTATATTTAATTGTAAGTACTATTTATCTATACCATTGAACTTTCTTAATTAAAAATATGAACGTAAATTTGTTGTCAACTAAAGAAAATTATTAATTACTCAAACAAACATTTATATTAATTTATTTGTCACGATACAAGATAGATCTTACATTCCTTTTAGGTGATTGAAAAAAGTTGGAAAAGCAAATAGTACAGTTTAGTTGGACTTAATGCACGAAATATATTGAGAATCAAACAGACGAATCTCGTTCTTCGTAATTGTTTTCCTTTTTTCGGTTCCTTTTTATTATACAAGTGTGCAAAATATTAAGGTGTGTTACGCGGAATGTTGTATAATTATCTTTTTTTTGTATAATTACATAACAAAGTGATACGTGCATTAGAAAAATTTACATATGTGCGTTTGACAATGAATTCTTTCTCTTTTGTCGTCATCCTTTATTACGTTCTCATTCTTTGCACGTTCAATTTGTTTGCATTCAATTTCTTTATATCAATAATTATATAATGACGAACATAAAACGAAATGCGACTATTTTCATAGTGACGTATTATCTGCTCATGTATTTTAAATTAGTTATATAAATTACTAGAACAAAAACGAATATTATTAAATTTTTTTTACATATATTTGATAAAGTGTATATACTATCCTTATCACAATCTGCTATTTCGTTCTCCAAAAAATTAAAAGACTTGGAGTAAGTTAAAAAAGATTGCATTTTGAAAAATTAATAATTACTAATTTTGTTTTCAATTTCATGGTCAATTTTTTATTCGATTATGAGTGTTTTAACATATGCTTTAAACGTTAATCACGAAGAATTCATCAACGTCGCATCGGAAAGTTAGAAAAGCTACATAGAATTACATGTTCTGTACTAGCAAAATAAATTCAATAGAAAAATCTAGTACTGAGAGCGATGCATACAGAGAACGCTTTTCAAGCGAAACATACATTCAATTTAATAATAGTTATGTTTGAAAGTGAAATTTGTATCTCTGATACATTCTCAAATTTTGTTTTTTCTTCCGATGCTGAAGAAATCACAGAGTAAAACATTTTGACAGAAGCGTCTCTGTTGTCGCGTAAGCGGATCAGCGAGAAAAGCGGTTGATAATTTAGTTATTAGAAAGATTAGATGCCGAAAAGATAGAAAGAGATTTTAGCCAATAAAGAGTAAGAAAAATATCAACCTTTGCGGCTTGATTCGCGCCGTCGAAGCGACGCTGAAGCGGCGCGGCTGCTCTTCGGGGAGGAAAAAATCTTATTCGGATTATTAGAAATGTATTAGAATAATTTGATCTTAATTTAGCTAAAAAATATGTTAAAAAAAATTTTAAAAAAGTATTAGTTAATACTCCACATACTTTTGATGTTATACATTCATTTTGACAATATATTTTATTTTTGTTCAACAATTATTAATGTAATTTCATTATCTATATAAGTTAATCATTAATATATATTATTATTCGTTGTGTTTTGCCTTGTCTGCAGAGAAGAGAAATTTGTACAACTTAAGCATTTTGTATAATTTTTATAAGAAATAGTAATTTTAGAAGTGTTAATAAAAAAAACTTGCATTTTCCTCCCAATTTTGTCGTGAATCAATTCTGCGCAATCAAGGCGGAAGTTTCCATGAACAGCCTCGATGACTTCCTCTCTTATGGAAGCTGTGAAAATAATTCGATTTAAAGAAAGTCATCATGTGTCGTATATATTATTTATGTTCTTATCATGGAAATCCCGATACCTATCTATCTACAGTTGATACTCGACAGACGAAAACCAGATCACGCGACCGCGAGAAAGTCTCGTTTTTTTTTTACTTTATTCAAAAACATGAACACTCGTGTTTTTCTTAGGAAAATCCTTAAACTCTCGGAAGCGCGCGCGAGATATTTAAATATCTGGGCCTCCCTGTATAAAAAATGTAGAATAAAGAACTTTACGGTCGCTCCGGTGTCGCTTCGAGCTTGACAAGACGGCATTTAAACATTTATCCTTAGCTACGACGTGTTTTACTGTTTCCTGTATGTGCTGCGTCGTTCTGCTCTACACATCTCTTCTTCGACACAAAAATAGTTCTGTTATATTTCTCTCGAGCCTCTTTCATCGCGCCTTCCCTTTTTTTCTCTTTTTTTTTTGATCCAACACCGATTATATTCAACACGATTTACACTGAAATAGATCTGACGAATCTTTGGAATGAAGGCTGGTAGAAAGATAGGCAGAAAGGTAGAGTGCGTGAAAGAGAGAGAAAGAGAAAGTGAGAATCGACGACATATCGCAGGGATGGACTTTCTCCTCTTCCTTTTTCTTCTCGATTTTTTTCATTGACTCTTAAGATTAGTGTACAAGTCTTGATAGCAATTGCAATGCAATCACCATGGTTTTCTTCTACTCTTTCTTCAGCGCTTAAAGCGCTTACGTCGTGGCAAATCGTTGTTTCTGCTTTTTCACAAAGTCAAGGGCCATTTTGTCACCGATTCGAGTTTCCAGTATTTGGAGGATTGGATGATCTAGAACAAAAGCATACATTTAATTTGCAAGCAAAATGAGCATCAAGAAGTAGAAACATAAGATAAAGACTACTTATATGAAATTTATAATATTATAGTATTAAATATATATTATTTAATTTCTTATGTAAAAAATACTTTTAAATAGAATATCTTAAAACAAGATAAAAATTTGTGATTTATAATATTCCTTATTTATATAATTTTCCTTATATCATTAATTCATGTAATCTCACAAATATTTCAAGATAGTTTTAGGGGTTCCTGGATTTATAAACTTAGTAATGAATTTATTTTGAAATCTTAAATAGACTTTAGAAATTTAAATTAAGAAACATATTTTGTAAATTCTATTATTTACGAAGTTTGATTAAAAATCACTCACGTCGATTTTTTTGGTGCATAAGCGGTAATTCTTGATGCTTGAGGCCATGGAAATTGTCTATGCTGGTGTTTGTGTCGGCGACGCCAGGAATGGTACTGAGTCCTAAGAAAGCTTCGCCTGCGAAATCATTTGCTGTGAGAACGTCATGATCCATTACCGTAAAAAGGACCATCGCATTGGGGTCACGACATTGCTCCACACTAACCGAACTGGAAGAAAGTAAACGCGTATACATTCATTCAAAGTAAAAATGTTTTTTCGATTGTTTTTTTAACATTTAAATTGAAATAATATCTTATAATATAAATCTGGCAGAAGTATATCACAAGATATCATTACATGATGTAAAGTAAATATTAAGTTAAGTAATAAATTTCTTGAATTTCATTTTTGATGTGTGAATATTATTTTGTTTTATAGAATTAAAAAGCATGACATATAATAAACTTACAATTCAAAACACTCATCAAACATAGGATTTAGAGTTTTCTTTTTGACGTTAGTCTGCTGCTCGGCGCAATGTTCGAACATTCGTCGCGGTAATAATTCGATTATCACGAAAGGATCACTGAATCCATTTGGATCTAATGGTATGACATCTCTGGCATTTATTACCTCGAGGCAAAGAGAATCATGATTTAAATAAGCTCGTATCGTTAGAACTCCATATTCGTAACTGGTTGTGCTAAGTTGGTCCTAAAAATTAATATATAAATATATATAATATTATATATTATATATAATATTATAATTAATTATATATTATATAAAAACACATTCAGTAATTAAATGTCGTACTAAACATTATATAAACTTTATTACAATACAAAACATTTTTATACAATAGTTTTTACATGCAAATTTACATAACAAAAAATAAAAAAAAATATTTTTAAGAATAAGAATATTTTTAAACATATTTGTACAAGATATTATTATTTGTATTTATTTAATAGGACAATTTAAAATGAAAAATAACAATAATATTTACAAAATAAAAATAATAATTTGGATGCTGCATATTACATACCAGAAGCCGTTGTTGATAATAACGATCAATCAAGAAAGTTGTGTCCATTTTATGATACTGGAGGCGTTCTTCTGCGTTCATGAAACTCTGACGACGTAATATTTCTAGAGGCAAGCCTTTATCGTCAGCGTTGAAAAATCTCACTAATAAATCAAGTGCTTCGTGTAATCTCTCGTAAAACATCACTGGTTTATCCTGCAAGTAATAATTTTTTTGTTATTCTGTCGTGTAATTTAAATTATTTATAAATATATAAATTTATATGTATTCTAATACATTAAATCAATTTACAAATATAGTCGAAATAATTTTATTATGTAATATGAAGGATAATCATTTTATGACCAGAGAGAAGATCAATATTCATGCAATTACCTCGGCATTTCCATCCATTTGACTGCCTAATTCACTAAGGACTACCTCCCAAATGTCTTGCAGAACGCGATTGAAATTTGCGACTAGCAGAGCCGAGTTAAGTGTTACCAGATGAACATCTAGATATTCCACAAGAGGTGCAATCGCTTCTGTAGTCGGCAAACTGTCAGGAGACCAAGCCAAGTGAAACATCGCTTTTTTCAGAGGTGGTCTCATCTATATAAAACAGATACAAAAAACAAATGTAGCTATTTTTGAACTTTTCATTAAGATAAATTCATTTTTGCCATGTTTAATACACTATAACATGACTAATTTGACTAGGATAAAAATTGTATGTATAGTTAACAGTTTTTTTAGTACGCGTTTGTTAATATAGTCTCCGATAGTTACAGCGATATTATCACGACATGTAATTATGTTTGCAAACTAATAAAAGCACCAATGGTGTTTTAAAACTGGAATGTAAATTACTCTGCAATGACTTGATGACCTTTTAAAAAGAGCAGTGAGATATTCATCTAGAGATTGTGATAATGAAGAAATTATGCATAGAATATATATATTACGTGGTTGTAATTTATAAAACGAGAAAAATTAAGTTGCATTAGTTAAAAAATCCAATTTAAAACTTAAGCAAACAATTTTGATTTCTTTTTTTTTATATCAACATTTAATCTTCAAGTACCTTTGCTCCAATTCTCGAAACTATTTGATTTATAAAGAGTAACATTTGCCCAGGAGTTTGTTCCAGCGGTGTTATCATAGTATTTCGCCACTGCATTCGAACGGATTCGCCTGCTTGATTCTCCAAAGCAGTTAGAATCTGTTCCACGCGAAGTTCCTCGCCCAGATCCAATAACCATCTTCTCACGTACTCAAGACCATTAATAGCAACGCACATCTGAAAATAGCATAAATTATTAATTAATTGTCGAGTGTCAAATTAATAATTACCACGTTGCCCTTCTGCATATTTCATTCGCGCGATGCAAAAGGGCATTTGTACCGTTCCATAAATTTTGTAGTACTCTCAAAGATGGAAGGAAAGTATTTAAATTCTACGATAAATTATAATTTATAAATTTAATAATATATCATGTATTTCTTAAAATGTGTATCTATATTAATGAAATACATATATAATTCTAAAATTTATGAATTGGATATATTATGATATAACATTTTAAAATATGTTTTAATTAAATGTTTATTCGTAACTTTGATTATAGCTTCCTTGTTTATAATATTCTCTTCACATAAATATCTTATTATGCATTGAGATATTTATAATGTTAAGCGCTGAAAACTTACCTTTTTTTACACATATGCATAATTGCCTTATATGTATAAAAATTAGTCATATTTTCGATCCATATTTATATATTAGCCTCTAAGCTTTGATACGCTTTTTACATTAATTATTGCGTTAATAGAATTTGCGCTACATATCGCGTCATGCTCCGCTTGTCGTGCAAAGTTGTAATCGCATCTCATATTCTCATAGTTTAGTGAAACTACTTTGCGAAGCAGGAAGTGTACTACTGTTTGTATACTAAAGCGAAGCAATCTCTACCTGAGCGATTACCTCATCTGTGGTCTTATATGGTATATGCTCTTCATAATATCCGCTATCCGCTAGTTTCTGATGTGTTATCTCTGCGTAGTAAGCCGCGGAGCTGCATATTGCCTACAGCAAATAGTGTTGACATTAGTGTATTTTAAGAAAATAATTATAGGTATTTTTTAATTATTTTCATATTAAGAGCACGGTCGGCGCCGAATGTGAAAATTATCGATTAACAAATATATTTCTACAATAAGAAATTACTGTGAATAAAAATTTCAATATTTTAAATCATGGACGTGGAATCACAAATTCTACATCAATGATTTAAATTTAAAGCATTGAAAATTTAATCTACAATAATTTTTTATTAGAGATATAAACGATTTTAAATATTAAAATTGTTAAAAAAATAATTATGATATATACTTACATCGATGACTTTCAACACGAAGTTATAAGATCCAACTAGATCCGGCCACGCTAGTTTCTTCCAGAATTCTTTAATCTGTGATCAGAAAAAATATAATTATTGACAGTTTTTTTATAACAAAATTGTGACTATTGCAGTATCGCGATGGGCACATAAATCAGAAAAATAAAAAAACTTAAGTACTTGATAAAAACACGCAGTAGCATCGATTGCCGATGTGCAATGTTTGACGAAATATTCCCCAGTACAGATTCGATCGAGTTCCGCAGCTCTTCGTACTCTTTGAATTGCCTTGAGTTTCGCCAGATCTAGCCATTTGTCGATTGCTGGTCTAAACCACTCGTAATACTTGCAGATCGCCAAAGTTTTATGGTCCGATTGTGGTAAATTCTCTTTCATACTAAAACAAATTTTGTGTTCAATCACAATATTGCATAATATATTTATCCGTTTTCCTTAATGTAAAATAAATATGAAAAATAACCTTTCAGTAATATAAAATAAATATGAAATAAATAAAAAAGGAATCTTTCAGTTATATAAAAATATGTAAATTAAAAGGTACTATTTTATATATATATATCTGTACACATATATATTTAATTTTAATACTTTTGTGATATAAATATTATGTTCAAAATAATTCAGACTATATTTGTGTTAATGTTGAAAAGGTAAGACAATTATAAGCCATAAAAATTATTTTTCAGCATATTTTAAAAATCTATTTTAAAAGATGATTTTATTGATATAAAAATTAATAAGTATAATAGACATTTACTTTACAAAATCTTGGAGAGCCAAGTAAAGTTCGAATATCGGTGTTCCTATCTCAGCACCGGGTGGTAGAACATACTCTTCGTCTCGGTTTTGACCATGTAACTGCAAACAGGCGGTGGTGACCCTTGCGCCAAGTTCGTTATGCATCTGTGAAAGTGATTGTTTTAATTACGCGCAATCTATTCGATCGTGTAGCCACAGACGCGCAAGCACAGTGATAATATTACTTTTAATTACTTCGTTTGAACTATTATACTATTGTACAATGCTATTGCATTTTTTAGGCTTAATATCTTTGAAGCATTGTGTCAGAATTCGCCAACATTTTTAAAATCTCAATTAACTAATTAAGTAGCTATTACAAACTTTTTTCACTAAGAAAGTGGGATAAAGCCCTGTCAACGAGAAAGTTTGATACATGCCTTCTTTGTGAAATATATGTGTATATTAATTGTTCGCAAAGTAATTCATACACGATCCAACATTTTGTATAAATGTTAGTTACAAAACAATACATTATGGAATACAGTACTTTTACTTTTTATTCGAAATATTTTGTTGTAAGTTTATTTTTGTATTAATACATATTTTTCATATTTTCATATATGTGTAATTATATTTAACAAGCAATGGATTGTAACTTTTTCCTACAAATTATATCCACATGTTCTAATATTTGACATTCTTTATACTTTTTAAATATTATATATATTTAAATAATTCATAAAAATGAGAAGTTACGATGTCTATTGATAGATCGTATAATAATCTTTTTTTTGTCAAAAAATATTTAACGTGTAATCCATATAAAATTGAATTTTGTTGAAGTCGATTTTACGCGCTACTACGTATCGTATACTTCATACGACGCAACAATTTGTTGGATTATATATGCATCGTTTAAACGTGGCAAGCTCTAGTGAATTTGCATATTCGGCGAAATTTATATGTAAAGCTATTAAAATTCAATTTCGCGTGTTTGTAGCAAATTATTGTGTTGCACGCTGACGTGCGATCCTCTGTGACTTTGTTTAAAAGAGATGTCGATTCTCGAGAGAGGTGCCGGATGCTAGTCTCGGCGATGTAGTTAATAGGGATATCACGGGAGTTGTGCTTGTACAACACAACAGATGGTCAGCATTACAAAACTTTTCAAGCATCTTTATGTAAACTGTTTAGAGAACTCGCTTAAAATATACATATATATGCATTATGTTCTGGAAGTTTTAAGTACTCCCTCTAGTCCTGCGATATTTTTGTACAGAATTTACTCGGAAATAAATGTACATACAATATACGGAAAAGAACGACCTTATTAAAAATTTGTAAAAGTTGACAATTAATTAAATTTGTTTTAATCTAACGTAATTGAATTCTTTTACGACATGAAAAAAATGTGGTTAGATCGATAACAAATTGGGACTCGAGCTTTCTGTTCGAAATTTTTCGCGGTAGATCTGAACAACTGAACAAATTCAACACTAGTAGTTGTAAAACTTTTACAGAAGTTTTATGGCTACGGAAGAAATTTAATCAGAACTCGCGAGGTGTCGGATGTCGAACTCGAGGATGCGCGAGAGCATTCCTGAAAGTGTAAAAAATGTAAATTACGCGTCTTTTGTATTTTTGTTTGTTCCGCAAAAAATAAATTTCTTTAAAAAGAATTTCCAAGTAACAATTATAATTCTATAATTCATAGAAAGTAGAAAATAACAACTATTCGAAATTTTTAACTTAAATTTAAGATTAAATTGAGATTGTCCATATAAACATTAAAATTCGTTTTATCTCTTTACGTTTTTTCTATTTAAACAACTTTTTATAACAAATAATTTAACAATTAAATTATCTCATTTATCAAAATATAGCAAAATAATTTCTACATTTGATTATTTTAACTATATTAAATATTCTATTAAATATTTTAATATTTGACATACTATATAATTATATTGCTAAGTACGAGTAATATTAATAGGTAACATAAAACAATTTTAAATAATTTAACGTATGGGTCACCGGTGAACCAAGACATTTTTATTTGCGCTTGTTATATTTATCAAATAACATATATTTCATGATTAAAAAACAAAAACTTATCAATATTGTATCATATAATTATGTATCCATGTATGATATGAAAAATTATTTTGTAATTATGTTTCTTTTTAAAATTAAAATATTAATTATTATATATTTATTGGCATGAACGGAAAGTTCTGCGTGATTATCGATAATCCACGAGGTATGAAACGTGTGCTAATATAATCAGTATTAAAAATGTAATTATTTTTTAAACAAAGAGTATTTAATCTTAAAAAGTACATTATTTGCTAAAAACGTATTTTTGTAATTTATTTTAACACATTTATTTTTTGCTGAATGATGAGCAAGTACAAATGTATTTCTCGAGGAGTGTATATTAAATAAAACATATAAAAACATAGGATTAAAATATAGGAATCAGTTGATGTATGATAACAAGTCTGATATAAAAAATTGATACAAATATTTGAACACACACCACTAAGAATAGTATAATATTAAAAAGTCTTTACTTCTAATAATCTTATCTTAATGCAAAAAATTAAAAAATTTTGCGTCTGAATACTTTAAGCTTTATGAATGTCAAAATAATCTATATACAAATTTAAGCGAATTTCGAAGAACTATTACAGTTGTAAAAAGCAATAATCGCGCAAACGTGCTTTCTGAAATAATACATTGTACATCGATTTCAGTTATTTTTGTAACTGGGCAGTTATATGTAACGAGAAATACACCTGCACCGCGACTAAAAATAAGGACACAGGGATAAATGAGTGGTGTATCATTTGCTAAATTGGCGAGCGCATGCAATCAGTACGCGTCAAATGCAGCTGTGTTTCGCTAACGATTCGGATGGCCGCATGCAATATCCAATAGTTTTTACTCACGAGGACTACGCTATGTGAGGGTGTGTGAAGAATATGCACTAACGGTGGGAAATAAAGATTTAACAAATGCCAAATAGTACAGTATAGTCGTTATAGTTTTTTCTTTGATATCAAGAGAGCTCATAAAACAAGCTAACTTCATAGAAAAAAAGACAAAAAATTCAATTATTATATTGCCGATGATAAAGTAATACTAAAATACGCATTTTTTTTCATCGGTATGTTAAAATTGATGGAACAGATTTTTGTGAAATAATATAAAAAATTAATATATTTTTATTATTTATAGTATATACAGTAATAATTGGAGTTGTTCTAGTTGGCACACTATTGCCTGCTTCGTGCATTTTGCGAGTATTCTTTTTGTATTTATGTGTGTAGAAGTTGAAAGTGTGTGCTCTCCTCGTGTTAAAAAAATCATATGGAACTTTAAATATATTAATCGGTTAGATTGCTAATTAAAATATAGATTAATTTTCTCGAAACTAATGTATATATAACAGTATATACATACGATAAAATATTCAGTAATTACTAAGTTAACAACGTCTATTTCTTTAACTGCATACTCATACAATCTTGTTTACATTTATTATTTATTTTGCATAAAAAGCGCATATTATAAGCATTATACATACAACTATACTATACGTAATTATTAATTTCATAATACTTCTTGTCATTAATTATTAATCATTGATTATTAATGTAATAAATAATTTACACATTTTTAATGGGTATGCAGATAAAAATGCGACGATTTCACAGTTTTACATTATGCAAGAAATTCGAAGTAACAGAAAGAAAGAAAGAAAGAGTAAGAGAACAAGAGAGAGAATTATAGACAAGGGTAAAAAAGAGTAATAGAAGAGAAAGAGAAAGAAAGTTTAATATTTTGTGGTGGCGATGAAAAAAGTACCTCGGAAGTGTTCTCCATGTGTTTCGCCACGTGTTCCGCCAGCTATGGACAAATATCTCGTGTACAGTAAAATCGCGCTGACCTGATGGACATTTATAATTCGTCGTCACGCTTTTTCCCAACCTGGCCCCTTCAGGTCACTGCGACTTGTTTATTTACAGCGTGTCCGATGTAACCTTATCATAATTATGATTATTTTACAACTTACTTTTTATCTTTAATCGCGCTTGTTATTTACAATATAACATATTTTAAACACTATCCATATCACCATAAAGCAATATCACCGTAAATTTGGGACACTCTATATATAAACAGTAATATGTATTGTTATTTCAATGCAAGGACGTCGACCGAATATTTTTCTAAGTAACTTGAAATTTTGTCGAATTAAATATAGTAATTTAAGAAATTCAATTGAATTTCTCTTTGCTACATTCTAATTAATGTGGTTTTGTTCTTAAATTTAAGTGTGACTTGGAAAAGAATAATCAAAGTAATCTTCTTTCCTCATGAGATCATTTACTCTCGTAGACACGATCGACGTCTCGAATAAAGCGTTTAAGCCAAACATAGCACACCCAGCTTGACGACACAGTGAATAAAAAATAATGATGTGTTATGTGACAGTGTGTCTTTGACGCAATTGTTGCAAAATTACAAGTAAAAAAATCTATTTATATAAATATCTTTTATGGTTTGTTCAGGAGAAACATTTCTGTCACTTGCATTCTTACCAGTTTTTCTAATTGTTTGTAAACTGCTGAGAAATATGGCACACCATTCGTGCTAAAACATAAGATTAATATAATGATTAGACAATTTTCATTATGTCAAGATAATAATAGTTTTTTAAGCTCTACAAATTTATGGAAAAACCTTGTTAATTACAAAACATTGCCTTATATATACATATATATATATATATATATATAGAGAGAGAGAGAGAGAGAGAGAGAGAGAGAAAGAGAGAGAGAGAGAGAGTCAAAGATAAATTATAATAGACAAAATAATCAAGTGGTTTAGTACTTTTGTATTTAATGATAGAGAAAATTGTTCGCATTAATTATTTTTTAATTATACTTTTTATTTGCAATTTTATATTACCTTCTAAAACAGATTTCAAAGATATTTACCTTTCAAAGAGACTGTTGTAATATAAAAGCCCTTGTTCCAGATCAACTAATAATGCAGTCACTAAGTTCGTAAAATCTTGCAAAACTCTATCGATGTCCTGATCAGGTTCCTGATCATGGCACATTGTTTGTTGTCTAGTATCCTCGTACCTGCAAAATTAAAATCAAAATTAAATAAAATTTCAAGTTTTATCTTTTTATAGCTTCATTATTATCATTTTGTTATTACGTCATTATTTTAGTATGTATAATTAATACAAACAAAAGCATTAATAAAAAAAAATAATAATAAAATAAAAAATTATTTTATTTTACTTCAATATTTTTGTTTATGCATTAATAATCTTATATACTAAAATAAAACTCGAAACTTATTATACATTATTTGAAAAGATATTGTTAGTTTATGACAAGATATCTTTACCATTCAAGAGTTCCTTTTCTAAGAGCGGTAATGATCTCACCACGAATTTCCTTGTTGAAAGGACAACAAGTTCGAAAAGCCTTCATATTTGAAAGAAGTCCCAGGCATCTGTAATAGTAATTGTTAACATAATTTTATACATCAATTATTATTAAGCTTAATAAAAATTATTTTTTATATCCAGCTTTATACATATATTTAATATATTACAATTAACTTTTTAATGTTTGCAATTGTACGTTTTATTATAAAGATATATGGATTTACCTAAGCAGATAATCTAACTTCGATATAGTCGGTCTATATAGAGGTGGATACAGTATCCGGTGCTGTCTAACTTTTTTCAAAGACACTTCCAGGAAATCGTTAAAGGAATCCGCCAGACACTGTTCTGCGTCGCGCGACAAAGTTTCAGTATGCCATCGATTGTCAAGTTCCTAAGGTTGAGAAATAGTCTAAGTTTATAATTGTTATTTAATAGTTTCGTTAATGTAATATTTGTTGTATATAAGATGACAAGATGCAAGTTGCTCCGGTGACTTAAGTTACCTGTAGAAGACGATGAAGCATTCGTGGATCGACGGCGGGTTGCCGGGAACTTGCCACCCACCTTATCAAGGCCTGCTGCAACTCAGTGACATCACCTTGCACCGCGTGTTGATGTAAGATAGTTAGTGCGGTTTGCGGCAGTTCTCCAGTGAAGTCTTCCTGAAAACCGCGCAAGTTCATATGAAGACATAGTCTGATTAGGAATTTCTAGAAAGATAATAAATATTTTAAAATACTTTATAATTTTTATGTGAACGAATCAGAATTTAATTTAACATTGAAGAGAATATCAAAAAGAAATTTTAAAAATATTAGGAAAAAATGTATATTCGCAAACTTATCTATTTATCTATCTTTTTCACTCGTTTTAGAAACTTTTTATGATTATTGTTTGAAATTTTATGATAATACGTACAAAATGCAACACACAATTTTGTATTATATTCCATAAGTCTGAAAATATACGATATACTTTATTACGAGAAATTTACGTCGCTATCGGATTCAATCTTTGAGTCCGCGCCTCAAGTTTGTACCATTGATCTACTCCAGTACTCGGAATATCCTGGAAAACAATATATTATTAAATATATATATATATATATTATTTTAACATTTTAATTTTAACATGCTATTATCACAAAACACTAATTATAACTTATATAATGTTTAAAATATATATATAAAACTCAGAACAAATTCTATAAAATTATTTAAAACGAATAAATGTCGGTGCTAGAACCGACAAAGATTTTTTCAATTAAAGAAATCTAAAAATTTAATAATTTTTAGTCAGTTTCTAAATTAAAAATTTCTTCAAATTATTCAACACACATAGAGTACTAAGCTAGTATAATAAATCAATGATAAATTAAACAATCACCACTAAACAGATGTTTACACAACCCAGGAAGTCATCCTGACTTCCGGATCTAGCACTTTGAGCGATTTGCTTAAAAAATCGCCCGAGCCCTTTCACGCCTCGTACTTCATTAAGTTTGATTACCGCATCGAATACCGAGGACTCGTCATCGTGGTCCCTGAAATTATTAGTGCAAGTCTCGAAAAGCTTAATTTAATTTTGAAATTTTGGAAACTTCATGTTTTTACATAGAAATGCTTGATTATATCATCTCAAATAATTATTCTAAGCTTTGTATAATTTTTAAAATATAATTTAATAGTAAATTTTTAAGATAATTTAATAGTAAATATAGTAGAAAATTATTACGCATGCAGTGCAAACTCACCATATGTCCAGATGGAGAATGTCTGTATTGACGTCATCAATGTCGCTGAAACAGGAATCGGAGCATGGTTATGTATGAGTACACGGATTTGCACTAGTTAGACTTAATAAAGGATCGCCATTGCGAGAGCCAATTACGAGGGGGTCAGGCCCCAAAGTTTTCGCTTACAAACGGAACTTCTCGTTCCAACGCGGACTCAACGTATGCGGCTTCACGGAGGTAGCTCGTATAAACTTCGCGGGTAGAGCACCGCTCAAGGACTCGCGGTGTTCCCGCCTGCTGCTGTGCTCCTTGCGCTTAAATGAAAGCCTGAAACTGATTTTGAATGAATAGTTTAGTACCGTCGTTACTAATGCTTCGATAATTTCTAATATCCAACCGTTTAATGATTCCTGATTATTAAACCTTGTTGTGTAATTTTTTTCAGCAAACTTACCTCTTCCGTCTTTAGAAACGGAAGTACTACATAATTAATGATGAAAAATAAAAAAATAAATAAAAATACTTAAATAAAATGAATAATAAAGTATAATCTTATCATAATCTAATATTTGCATTTTTAAAACTTAGATATATCCTATTTGCTTTTTCAATTCTTTTGAAAATGGCTGCGTTCAGTAGAACAGAACAGTTTTACAACCGTTTTATGATTATCTGCTAAGGACCTTTTCTTCCTTTCTCTCTCTCTCTCTCTCTCTCTCTCTCTCTCTCTCTCTCTCTCTCTCTCTCTAAATCTAAAAGTATAATCCAATCAGGACAAAATTGTTAACAGTTGCAAAATAAATGAGAAATAAAAAAATTAATAAAAATACTTACACAAAATGAATAATAAAATATACTTAGAATCTAATATTTGCATCTTTAAAACTTACATCCTAAATGCGGATTTGCTTTTTCAATCCTTTTAAGAATGGCGGCGTTTAGTAGAACACAACAGTTTTACAACCATTTTATGACTATCTGCTATGGATAGAACCATTCTTCTCTCTTTAGATCTAAAAATAATATAATCCAATCAGCGCAAAGAAAACTTAATTTTAACAGTTGCAAAATAAACGTTTTGCTGAACGCAGCCAATAACTTCACATTTTTCATCTCTTTCAAATCTTTCTTTTCTTATAGAATATATTTCAAATTATATTTAAATTATTACGTTTTATTTTATATTTATCTTGTATTAGTTACAGAATACACGAATCCATTTTACATGCAACTGTATGTTATAACACAATGATCTCGTGAGATAGATAAGATTTTGATACTAATTGGCAAGTTATGTCGTTGCTAGGAATAGAGTCTTAAGTTTTCCTCACAAAGCTTCCAAATCTTCAATGCCAATATGCAGCATGACATCCGCTCTCGCAGAATCCGGATGGAATTTCACGCGGTTAACGAAGAGCATATACGACGTATGACACTTCCGTAGACGTCGCGTGTCTCGTTGCAGCTAGTGATGCACTGTACGCTCTAAGCTCTCTTGCCGTTGCATTAATCACTTTACTTACACCACCAGGTGGCGAACGGAACAATATATGAAGATACACAGCAAAATGGGCTTGCTCTCTCAATGCTCTTGCCCGTTCTCCATTCCGGAGAACGATTCGCTCGTTCACAGAACTTGCTGCATCCGGCGCGTCCATTGTACATCGCGTCGTATTGTCGCAAATGTCGTCGGAGTTAGCGTGTAGTAAATGCACATATCATTGTGGATTCGTAACATTCTAGATTGGCACGTGTTGATTTCTTAAGCCGTAATCTTCTATTATGCCAAAAATATAGTCACGTTGCAATATTTTCTCTGTTAGAAGATGGATAAAGAAATTTAGAGTATCGCGCGATATTATTAATTTGTGTGTTTTGTGTGTTTTATAAAAATCGTAAGGAATTATGGAACAATATTTGTCAATTTGTATACATTTCATTCTTTCCAAAAGTAATACCAGTTAAATATTACTTTTTGTGATATTAATTTTTTAAGTTCACTTATCTTAAGTAGTACGCTATCAATTTTTATCGTATCGCTGATAACGATAGATAAGATGCAATTTTTGTGATGAACAATAAATGACATTTTCGCGAGAAAGTACAATCGCATCATTAATATCAATCATGTTGTAATACCAATAATAGCTAATGTTTGTGTGCTGTCAGGGTAGAAGATATTTTAAAAGGGGAAAATTCAATTCTACGTCTACAATATGTTGACATATTTCCTACGAAATAAACAATAGAACTTCCATGAGTAGTAGTTTTATTTAGAATGGTTAACACAATATCTGTCAGACTAGACTAAAAGACTACTAGACATCCTAAAGACTACTAGACGTGATAAGATTTGCTCACATCATCTCGCATTTCTAATTATAATAATCGATTGCCAAACTATAGAAATTATAATAATATTTTTACAAAACGTTTACGTATTTTCGTAATTTTATTATTTGATATGAGAATATAATCATTTCTTCCTCTCAACTTACCTGTGATGCTTTCGAAGCTTCTCATGATGGGAGTTCTCGATGTCGACGCCATCGGAAAGGGCGCGAATTGCTTGCCTCGGGGATGCTGGGGGTGTATGCGGCGAATGCGCCGTTAAATTCGTTTGTGGACTCAACGGTGCACCTGGGTTGCCGGGCTGTATTCCCAGCATGCAGTAAGGATCGCTAAATCCTAAAGAACATGACAATAACTCTTTCAGTAAAAAGAATATTGTGTATAGTCTGTATGTGATTTTTATTTTGTCTATTACATTCCGATAATTTTTGATAATATTTTAGTCAGAAAATTTCTTGCAAGTATATGATAGAAATCTTTTTACAATAACAATATTGAGCAAGAACAACGTCTACTGCAACTAAAATTTTTTCAAGATTAAATATTTTCATATAACTAAGTTTTAATTAAGTGAAAATTTTGTTAAAGTTTTAATTTGCTCTTTAAGTTATTTGTGGAATACGATTTTGTCATTTATTCGTAATCGGGAAGCTTAGTTTTTACCCCGTAATCGGGATAGTTAGTACTTTTACTCATTTATAATTCAAAAGTAATCGGAGCTCAGAATGGAACTGACAATGAATTGACTTACCATTGACGTCCTTTGCCTCGAGTCCATCAGCTTCGATCACCACCACGCTTAGCACAACAATAGGTGGCTACAATAGTAAATAAGTTTTATTTTATTTAGTTTTTACTGCGAATAACGGTACTTTGATGATATATTTTTCGAAGAGAGAAAAGCCAACATATCGTATTTGAGAAGAAAGTTAATAAACGGATATACCTTTTCTTCCGAGGCAATATTGAGATATCGTCGGTGCTGATCCTGTGGGACTCCGAAGGCTTCTTGGGCATATCGATAAAGATCTTCCTTGTAATGCGCGTATTGTCCTGTACTGGCGCCTACAGTGTTTGCAATCGTATAAAGAACCTCTATGTACAATTGCTCCATCTAGAAAGTAATATACCAATTTTTTAATAATATTCAGCATATAATAAGTTGCTTACGCATAATTGATATTTTTAAAAGTAATATATTTTTAAATTTATACAATATTTTTTAAATTCTTCTCAACCATTGCACAGAATACAAAATAAATATTAAAATAACTATGTTATATATTTTTATTTAAAAAATTGATTTATTAAATTCCTAACAATTAATGCCAATGTAAATATATCGTATTGAGTCAAATTATAATTAATTTTCAAAATAAAATGTTTCTTATAATTTTTAATAATAGTACATTTATTATAATAAAGATTACAATCATATTGTTAAAATTATTATTGCAGCAAAAGTTATTTTATTGCACAATTATAATCATTTACTTTACGAAGCAATTTACTTTACGAAACTGTCAAATATAGTAATGTTAAATAATATTAATGCTATAAATTCTTCTCTTAAAATATATGGGAAATTCTATTGCAAGATGATTAAGTTAAAGATTTCCTTTGTCTAGCTAAACGATCGTGTTTCTCTGTTTCTTTTTAGGAATTTAAAGCAATACGATATTCATTATACGGAAAAAAGTACAAACTCGTTTTATAGAAGATAGAATATAAATTCAAAAGGCGTCGAGCTCTCTTAGCCGATATTATGCCATTTAATTCGAACACATATATTATTAATTATTATTTCATTAAAATAATAAAAAATTATCGAATTTAAGAAAATATTAATAAATAAATTTATAGATAAATTTTGGAAAATGTGTTCATTAGTAAATCATACTATTATATATAATCATTTCATATTTTTATCGTATATTAACATTATTGTATGAATTTATATTTAGAGAGAGAAACAAAAGATAATTATGAATAATTCCGTAATGTCATTGTAGCAGACTCTCCATTCCTTGTCATTTTTCGATATTACAAAGAATATTCCTCTCTCGTTTCTTATTAACAAAGTGATGACATCGGCTTTTTGCCAATTAATCTCTTACGAAACATTCATAACAACCTTTATGCTACGAAGATGATGGGGACAATGAATAAAGATTAAAAAGAGTCGGGAGCGACAGGAATATTGTACCTAAGGAGATTGGAAGAGAAAGGTACGTTAAAATGATGAGCAGAGCTTGACATGAGAGTTTCGATGAAAACTCGCGAGCTTTCGTGAAAAAGCTATTTACTTAAAAGTGTTTTTCCACTTGGGTATTTATTTTACGAGAGTCAAGAGCCAGACGACAGTGCGAAAAATTGTACGGTTATCTAGGGACCCACAGCGAGAAAAATACACATACACATATTTCACCGAAAGAGATAGGAAATACATAAGTTTATGATAGTTGTATCCGTATCTATTTATCACAAATCCGGAGACATATAAATGGAGCTCTATAAATTCACAAGGATCCATAGATCCGTACATTTATAAATATAAACAATATTTAGAATTTATTAGAATTTATGTGTATCTTTTTGGAGCACGGCAAATATATGAATGTATAATTTTTAAACAACATATTTATCAACATGGAAAAACTTTCATATTAACATTGCATTTAATATTACATTTCTACATAATATAAATTAATAATTATATTTTTTCTCTGCAAATATATACGATTATATAATGTTGTTTGGCTAATGTATTTTCTATCAATTTTATTGAATAGATAGACGAATTAGTAAGTAATAATGAAGAAATTACAGAGAGAGAGAGAGAGAGCGAATTGAATTTAAAATCGTAGCTTTGAGATTTGAAATCGGAACATCGACTTGGAAATACGGACTTCGTGCGCGCATTATAGTTGGTGACGTCGAAACGACGACGACGTACTCTCATTATGAGTTTTCTACCTGTTAGTTCGATCGGCCAACGAGCGTGCCGTCTGACCCAAACGACTCAACTGACTTTATCTACTTAGAATAATACTTCAAACGGAATGGACGTAACTACTCGTCCGCATGCAAAGCCCGTTACAACCAGAATGACGTGTGTTAAATGTAACAACGTTAGGTCGCACGCGATATAGTCGTAGTGCGAAAATGTGGAAAATTTGCCGCACTTGTACTAACAACTGTAAAAACTTTGCCGGAGTTTATAAAATAATAAAAAGCAGAAAATAAAAAATCACCTGGTTCTTTGAAATTGGCATGAAAAAGTTTAAAATAAAATTTTTATGATAAAACAAACAAAAATCATGCATGTGTTATATAGAAAATAAATGAATTGCAAAATACCTCTTTTTTGCTAAGTCGATATGGTTGCGAAGTCAAATTCGAATCTCTGGACGGCGGTGGCGGTTCCTTCGCTCTTGCTTCCACTTCCTGAAGAACAACGAGTCTCCGATTCTCCTGTTTCCAGGATAATGCGGTAAAACTTTCAAAAAAAGATCCATCTGTTTCTTGAACACTGTAATCAACAGACAATTAAATTAAGTATTAATATCAATAATTTATATTTTTGTATTGTGTTGTAATATAAAAATAGATTAATTTTTTTTATAATAAATAAAGAAACTATATTAAATACATTTAATTGCAACAAATATAATACTATATAGTAAAAGTTCATATTATAATTAATAACATATTTTATTATCTATATTTAATATCTGTCACGAAATATATTTATATTTAAACAAGTATTTCAATGATAGATAAATCCAAATATGCACGTTATATTAATAATAACAAATATTAGTAGATAAAGCAAACACATGCATTTGCCATACTTTTCAAAAACATGAGAACTTTATTCTACAATAAGCGGATTCAGATTTAATTTTATTTTTGATTTGTTATCTTATACATTTATATAAAAAATATTTTTAAATAGGACAGATAACTTTTTATAAATGATTATGACTGAACAATTGATTTACATTGCTTTTGTATCATTATGTACGCATTTATGGCTAAATGCATGTATGCTTTGCCCTTATATTCTAATGCAAGCAAGTTTCGCAATATATCAATGCACATTGCGCAATTTGCATTTGTTAATAAAGTCGTATTTCCGTACTTCGTGTAGTAGCTTATTAGTCTAGCGATTTTTTCACGTTGCGTGTACACCCAGTTTCACAATCTCGCGAAACTATCGATCGCTATCGATGCTCTCCCCCCTCTCTCCCCCTCTTTTCTTCTCCCTCCCCTTTCTCTCCCTCTCTCTTTCTCTATTCTTCTCCCTCTCTCTCTATTTCTTTCTCTTTCTTTCTCTGCGTTAGAATTTTAATATGATGTTTGGGTGTCAAATGTAAAATAATAAAGAAGCTAGTAACTTTTTCGAATCTTAAAGTTTCGACATTTCATATTATGTAATTATTTATTCAACGATTACATTTGATCATCTGATATTCGTAAATAATATTTATACTTTTTAATACTTTGTCTAATTTATGATTTCCCATATATGCATATATAATTATATATAAAGGGTGCCCCAAAAAATTCGCGATTCAAAATACTACAGCAAAAAAGTTATCAAAAAATTAAATAAAAAAATCATTGTATTTTAAGAAACTTTTTATTTTAAGTAAGTTTCTGAAATATAACGATTTACATATGGCCAATTATGTTCAGATAACACTTAGTGAGTGCGAAAAATCATAACGAAAAATCATAATTTATATATATGTGTATATATGACTCAATTTAATATAAGATTGTAATATATAACGACAAAATAAATAGAATCGAAGCATATATTTTATACACAGATTTATTTATATTATATAGATATATAGATATCTATAATTTCTTAAACAAACATGTATATTACATATCCATTAGCGATAATTTTGTAAGTATTGATACATCGAAAATTCCAACGTCAAAGTTCATATAGAAAAATATTGTAATAACTTTTAATTTTAACTATCAGTCACTCTCACTTTTGCTAAGAAATAGCTTTTTTTCTATTAATGCGAGCTCGATTATTGAAATAAGGATGGTCGGGCAGCCATGAAAACACAATACTAATCTAAGAGAGGTCGTTAAGCAACATGATGGCGCAAACCTAGAATTGTTCCAAGATGATAGGAATCTTGGTTGCCTTGATAAGCATCATAGGAACATTCTGTGCATGGTCGCTCGAATTAAACTTGAAGCATACGTGCTTTGCTGTTGACTTCCTCGTATTCTATCTTGCAAAACGTGTAGAGCAGAAACCCACAAATTAGTTCTTCGTACAAATTTTTTACTTGATATAAATTTATATAACACTATCGCTAGAAACATTCAATTTATAGAATAGAATCATTTAAATACATTAGAATTTTTAATTTGACAATTTTTCTATTTTTCCTCTTTAACTTTTCTTTACTTATAACAATAAAAAAATTTTATAGATTTTTTCAATCTTACTAAAAGAAATTCTAATTATCGTAAAGAAAAAAATATCAAATAAAAAATATATTTGTAAAATATATATCTTTATTGCCATCTGTAAGATAGCATGTAAGAAAATCAGCAAAAACGCTTCGTGTATAAAGTAAGCTTGGAACTATATGCGTCATTTACATAATGTATAGCATTGACGATGGTCTCTTTTACGGCTTGCATAATTCGTAAATCAATGTATTAATAATTCAAGCAACTGTTTTACATATTAATGTCTTTGTGATAAAAAAGAAACGACATTATGGATGTTCTTCTGTTAATTTAATTTTTAATTAAGTAAGTAATTCTGTGATGCATTTAGATGACTTGTTTTTAGGTTGCAACTTAATTAGTAAAAAAAGTGTGCAATTTTATTTCCATTTCTATAATTATTACGACGACAAGTGAAAAAGGATTACGTAACTCTCACATGCGAGTAAAACGAAGTAATTCGATTACTCTCGTCAGTCCTACGGCAAATGTTGCTCTCAGAAGTCACACGTGCGTATGATTTCAATCGATAAACAACCGTACACATCAATGAACATCTATTTCCACTAATTGGAAACATCCATGTGTAATTTCTTTGAAATTTTATATTTATGCAATGTTACAAATTTTTTCTTGTAACAACAATTTTATCTATCTTAAAATGTGACATTCAAAGGAGTTTCGGATCTGTATTTTTTTCTAACTAAATTTGTAATCTATTTGCAATTGAGTTTTCTATAACAATTATCAAATAAACAATTATAACTTTTATAAATAATTTTTAAAATAAAATAATTTATACAGCGCTAAACTAAATTTATAAATATTAAAAATATATTAAAGCAAAGTCTATTCGATATCAAGTAATAAATTCATGTTTCACTGTCTTCTTTTTTCAATATCCGATAAGTCTAATTGACATCTTAATATGGTGATAACTATCAATCTCTCAATTGGATTAATATGTATATTAATAATATAATTAATCATTTTTCCAATTTCGGTCAATATGGATTGCTATGTGACTAATATTCTAGCAAACTTGTGTTATTTGCATTTTTTGTAAAAATTTCTTTTCTTTCTAGAATTTCTTTCACTGTTAGAAATATAGGATCATAGTAAAATAGCGAGTGCGGTAGCTAAATCAGAGGTGCAAAGGCATGTCACTGGAAAGAAATAGTGGGGACAATAATGCCGTCGACGTGGCTTTTTACAAGGGACCAGGCAAACGGGCGTGAAAAGAGTTGTTCGAGGAGGAAAAAATGCGGAGGAACACAACCAGCAATGGGCATCCTCGTAATGGAAACCGAAAGCGCGTCGACGACATTCTTCTCATCATCATTCTAATGTCGAGAGGATGTTCGCTACGCTATGAATTGTAATTTGATCATCATCGACTTCCGTCGCATTTTCAGTATTTAACTTTCAAAAGTCCATTTTATAAATTACAATACTTTAATTAAAAAAAAAAACAAGCAATTTTCTTAATTTCCTCACATCACATTGTCTTGAATCTTCATTTATATAAATATTAAATTTATGTATACTTTTTCTTTTTTTATTTCTAGAAAGATTTATTTTTAGAAAATTAATTTATGATCTATATTATCTATAATTAATATTTTTCGTCGTTATTGTATCTGTATAATTACCGATTTTTACTTTTTAGTTTCTTTAAGTATAAAACAATTATTGGAACTGTCAGAACATTTTATTTAACGGCTAATAAAAAAACTTGTTAAATCTTCTATTTTCTTTGTCGAAATAAATTCATGCAATAGAAATCATATGATAATTAGATTTATAATATATCTCATGATATTTTCAAGATTGTATGATTTGATTATGAATTTGTTGCTTAATTGTTTTATAACTTCTCTTTTCGTTGATTATTGCAAAATTACGTTAATTTTTTTCTTAAGATCAATTATGCGAAGTTAAGAAATTGAAGCGATAAGATTCTTAACAGTATACTAAATATTATATTTAAAATAAAATATATTGCACGAATTTCTTATATCCTCAGTGCTATAATTTACTGATCCTAGAAGGAAATAAAGTACTCAGGAAATGAAATAAGTTGGTTAATTACACTGTGTTAAATAATTTTATAAATAGCTTATAATTTGTCAAGCTATAAAATAAGAAATTTTTTTAAATACAAGTTAACAATGAGTTAATATGTTTATCCAGTCAGTTAAAATAACTTCAATACAATATAAGAAGTTAATAATTATTTATATACTCAATACGCAGATTATATACATTTTAGCAAGCGTTAAATTATTAAATAATCAATTGCACAAATCAATTCCAATTTTTAAATTTATATAAATGGGTTTAGGTTTAATGTCTCGCGCTTAAAAAAATATTTTATAACTTAATTTTATAATTTTTGTAGCTCAATTTGCACGGTTTATATAATACTCATATAATATTTGATTATAAAAAGTATACTTAGAAAGTAGATTTATTTAAATATATATATATATATAGTTTAATATATATATATATGTAAAGTAAAAGCATTAATTTTGAAGCTGTTTTTTCCACTACTTTAGCACCTCTATACTAAAGGATTTTCTTAATGAATCCACGCAAAGATATGGCGCTACTTTTGCTTGATATTGTAAAGTGTCGAAATAGTCCACTTAGGAAAAATCTTCTATCCCCTGGGATTCACCTCTAAAGAGAGCGTGAATATTTTACATCTTTTCTCTCTCTACAGGGATTTTCTTAAAGCCTCGGAATCGTAAGTTCGAATGAAATGCGTTGTTCTTGAGTATTAGTTCTTTATCATTGATTCAGATCTCAAGATTCATGTAAGTAAATTATACATATATCATTGTTTAAAAAATTAAATTTTTTAAGTTGTTTGAATATGACTCTTCATTAAGATACATCATCAATAGAGTATTTCGGAGAGAAACGTCAGTTTTAATTTTACTTTCGTCTCTTCGGAGTTCTGTTAATATCTGTAATAAAACACACACACACATACACACGCGCGTGTGCGTTAGAACAATTGCGAGAATTAAAAAT